AACTCGTCACGGAGGCGGTCCAAGCTCACATCCGCCGCTGCCCCAGCAGTCTTGGAATCCTCCAGATCCCGCTCGAGGTCGTGGATCTGGGATTGGAGTTGGTGGATCTCAGATCCGGCGAGTGCCATCTCCCTGAGGAGATGGTCGTTGTCATCTCGCATAACGTCTCGTTGACGGGAGGCGCGATCCAGTCGTCCGGTCAGGTCGCGGATCTCTACCGCCTGATCAGCCAACAGGAGTCGCAGGTCCTGCGACCGAGAGGCCGCACGGTGCTCCCACCCCTGGATCTCCATCGCTTGGTCATGGATTTGGGTCCGCAAGGTCTGAAGTTGGGCAGTGTGTAGAGACGCAGCTTGGTCTTGGGCATCTTGAGCCGTCTGGAGCTCCGCCGTCAGGGTTTGCACCTGATCGGAAAGAGCCTGAGCTAGAACCCGCAGATCGGTGGGCGACATAGAAGACGGACTGACCGGAGGGGTAGTGGATGGGGCCTTGCCCGACGATTTGCCGGTACGCTTGGCGGGAGACATGTGTCGCGAAGGGGAGAAAACGGTGGTGGGTGCTGGTGATGCACGCCGTGAACGCTGTTGTGCAGCGCCGACAACGTACAGGAGGCGATTGTGGTAACGTGCTTTCTCAGAAATAAGAGAATGGGCCTGACGCGGGGTCACTATCCCGAATCAATGACAATTTCAAGTGATTAAAAAGGATTTGGGTTGGCTGGCACGGATGCAAGTTGCCGGTGGTGGATTAGCCATGACGAGCAGCGCCCCGTATGAAGTGACGATGGATCTGGTATGAGCGATGTACGAGAAGGCAAGATCCACCAAGACTTACCTCGGATCCACCCTTACTTGGATTCACCTAAATGGATATGGGATATACTATACAAGAGTGGATCGGGTGTGGATCCTATGAAGGAAGGATGGTAGGTGCCCTCTAAAGGTGGATCTAGTAGCCACGGCTAACGAGGAGTCAAGATCCACCACGAGGTGACCCGGATCCCATGCTTTCGAGTTAGGATCCAAGGAGGGAGGATCCCGCCTTAAGGGACCTGGATCCAGGGTATAGGTATGATGGATGCAGTGGATCTAGAGCTTTCGTGGGACAGTGGAGATCACAGACGGTTGCGAGATGATGTTGGATGAGTGAGAGCTCAGGTCCACGACGAGTGTACACTTTCAAGTGAAGTGGATCTAAGCGACCTGGATCCTGATGAGTGTACCCATAATAGGGTAACCATAATGATTACGCCATGGATCCGGTGGATCTGAAGATAATACAGCTGGGATGATGGGTCAAGGGAAGAAGGGACATGCAGCCGAGCCTGGTAAGGGATTTAACAGATGAAAGACATAGAAGGTAGAAACCCAGGCAGGTATAGGCTTAAATATCAATACAGACTCCAATTTGCACAGTGACACGCAAGTGCCTTCCTGCCCTCAAGAACCGGAACTACATTGGCCGTACGAGCTCCGAGAAGGTTGGGAATTGCGAATCTAGTGTTGGTAGTGATAACTGGATAATACATTGGCCAGATCCTACAACCTAGTGAGCTTTTCCTTTACTTGTGCAGATCCGACAGGTTAACCGAATTTACTACTTGGTCGGTTACACCCTAGGGGCTCTCAACTCTCAAGATCCCGTCACAGGAGGCGGCAAGTACAACGCAAAGGCAAGGGAACACACCCGCAAGGCAACCCTACGGCCAGATCCACGATCTAGGCCCCGGATCCATAAGCTCGAATATTCGCTTAGGATACGGAACCATCCACGGACGCAGAGTGAAGATTTTCCACTGCTGCTCCACCCCATCCCCACGTCTCGCCAAGACACTCAAGCTTCACCACTTGAACTCTTCGGAAGTTACCGAGAGAGCAGATCCCGCCCTACCGACGGGTACACAAGGTGAGGAAAGTTCAGCAGAACACGGATCATCGGGGGACCCCCTCCGTTAGTCGGTGTCTGGGCGCAGTTGGTAAGTTGGATCTGGCAATCTCGCAGATTTTGCTGATCCCGCTACACCACATAGATGTCGAGCGAATCCCGTATTTTATTTAGAACACATATGCCTTATATGCGGGGTGAGACGGTAGTACGGTGGCAGCCCTGCAGTGTATTTTTATATTGTCAGGCTAGATAACGTTCATTGAACCTGATTGGGTAGAAAAATCTACAGCATGCAAATCTACCAAGTGTGAGAGCCACTAGCAAGGAATCACCGTGTCATCCACTTAACCCTTTCACTACCAGCAAAATGAGACACAGTATAGGTCCACACAGACCCGTAAGGTTGATGATAGAAGGACACAATTGGTCAAAACTGAACTCGACGAGCGACAACAAAACACTGTATAGTCTAAAAGGTCTCCAAGAACCCACAAGCTTGCAGTACCGTAGTGACCACAAAAACGCTCAGCGACCTGTCATTCTCATTTCTTCTCCTTTTCCCGCAGACACGCATCTCCCCGCACCGACTAATGGATTTAGAGGCGCTGCTGAATGCAGCTGACAACGACATAGGAGACTGGGAGGTCGATGCTGACACGGACCACGATGAGGCACCCCTGTCGGCACACCTGAACGACGAAGAGGAGATGGCTGATGCTATCGATGACCTCCCTGCAACTGGTGATCAATCCGTATCTGACGGACGTATGCAAAACGCCTACGTATCCAGAATCGCCGACAAGAGCGGTCTACACATTGTACATGAGGGGCAGGTGCGACGAGCATACGCAGAACGACAGGAAGCTGACCTCTTCGGGTCTCTTCTTCAGTGCAACATATAGAGACACTCTTAGAGGCTGGAGAAACGCGAGACTGCTTCAGATCGGCAAGGCCGAGGTGACTGTCGCGGAGTTCGAGGCATTCATGGGCCTCGAGGTTGCGATGGGTATTCTACCGCTAACCGAAATTAAAGATTTCTGGTCCAAAAAGAACTTTTTAGGACAGAAGGATGTGGCTGAGACGATGCCTAGAAACCGGTTCGAATGTTTGCGAGCTAACATACAGCTTCATGCACCTAACAGTGCTACAGAATCGTACAAGCTGATGAACCCTCTGTGGCATAGTCGTGACTTGTTGCGCCATATTCAAGGCCAATTCGCGGAAATAGCAGTCCCTACAGGTGCTGCTAGCTTTGACGAGAGCACCGTGCGAGCGAAAGCACGGTCATTAGCCAGAACTTACATGCCTTCTAAGCCTGGCAAGTATGGCATCAGGTTCTATGCTGTGATGGGATGGGATAGCTTGTATATCCATACTATCAACGACAATGGATCTGGCAATACTGAGCCTAGAAACCCGGCGGAGCGTTTTTGCGGCATGTTTCATGAGCTACGACGGCCGCTAGCAAGGACACTAGCACGTGAAGATATATCGGTGAAGCGGGACTCGGCTTCAGCTCTCTGGGTGGCAATGATTGGACGAATGACGCTGACGCATCAGTCTCCAACAGGACGCCGTCTTATTGTGTGCAATAATTACTACACTAGACACGAGCTGGCAAAGGCTGTACTGGCGTTTACGGATGGCGAAGTTAGAATGGTCGGAACGTGTAAGGTTAATCAGATGGGGAAGTGGAATGAGTCAGAAATTGCGCTATCTGTAGAGCGTGTAAAGCTTATAGAGAGAGGGAGCTGGGAGCTTATAGCTGCCGTCGACATTAAACACGACTAGAGTAGGGCTGCCTTTGGACCCCAATAAAATACAACATTATTTCGAGCAACCCTGCATTGAATAGCTTTAGAAGTTTCGCATGTTCGCCCCCCCCCCCCCCCCGACCGACGTCGAGGTGTCCACAGGTCCGTTTGGCCAGCCGCCGAGTTCAACAAGGTCGGCCTCGACGTTGAAGATCCTACACGTACATGTACGTCATCTGTGGCGATGGCTGCCTGCAGGAGGGGTTTTCTTTGATAACATGAACTCCTGTATTTGACATGCGCAGATGTGTTAATAAGTTTAATGCTTGTAGATACTTACTGTATATGCGCAGATGAGTAGCGAATAACAGCTGCAGCGACGAAGTAGTGGCCCAAAATTGCCGGTCGCTGAGAAAAATTGCACTTGCGAAGAATCTGGGAAGGCTTTCTCGGATTGGTTGAAATTGGCCATTTCCCCCAAATATTAAAACACCCTTTCGTAATGAGACTGCGTCAAACAAAATGTTACTTATGAACCTTTGAGTTATCGAGATAATCGAGCTTAGAGCTGGCAAATTGATTTTCGTACTTAACCGAAACAGTGACATTTATTGTAAACTTCCATCGAAAAAACTGTAAAACTACCCTTATTCAATTGCTTTTAACAAGAGCTTTTAAATAACACCTAAATCTTTAAAATTGAAAAAATATTGAGCTCACAACACTCCTAAATGTATCGTCATTTCGAGGGCCCATAAATGATGATAATATTTTTGAGCGACCACAACTTCTTCAATTTTAAGCATTCTGCAGCTTATAAGGGCTCAAACGATAGAGGAGACGCCCTGCTTTCGTTTAGAGTGCTTAAATCGCGATTCGTACTTAGGTTCATAAGTAACATTTTGTTTGACGCGGTCTCAAATGAACTAAAAACATAAAGAGACGTTTGCTTATGCAGTCATGAAGTATAGTTTTTAAATTTTATGTATCTGTTCGATTGATACAATAAAGTTAGGGTATAGTCCATACAAAGAAGTGGATTATATTAATATCATATTGTAAACGATTTCACAAAACAGCCCAACTTTCTGACGTTTAAGTAAGGAATATCAAAGCAAAAATCCGGATTAGCCAAGAATTGATTTCCGTGTGAATGCATAAGTCCAGTGGGGATTCTATTTTGGAGAACCCTCGACTCGCTCCATAACCTCGGATAGCTACAAAAAACTACGTTCATTAATGGCGGTCACAGCATGTACTTCCGTCGTTCACCTTCAATTGCGAAAAGGTTTCCGCAGAAGTAGGTGTTCATATGCGGTTGAGAGTACATGTATGCCTCAGTCCGCCACGACTCAACTTTTAAGCTACCGGAGTCATCCCGTTTAGCGCGTGGTTCTCCTTACTCGCTGCATACCACGTACAGGACAAGGCGTGCGTTAATACTCCTGTTGTCGGATTCAAATGCCATCGTAAAATGAGCACATTAAACGTGCGGAGAAGCTTCCGTGGCAGCAAACGTGCTACGATGAGCAGCAACACCGAAGTGGCTTGGTAAATATGTTCTCCATAGTAGAGATACCCTGTCAGCAACAGCGCTTCCACCGTGGTACATCGTTTTCCGTTGTACGTTTCGTACGCGAAATCACCGCAATCGTGAAAGTGTTTTCGGAACGGTGAGCCCAGACAGTTCTCCTCAAAGGAAGTGAGGCGACTGTATTTTGGACAAGTTCGAACCGGAACTGCTTGGTTCCGCTTATTGAACCTGAAGCGCAGCGTCGTGATCTTCCCAGTCACGACGGTATGGACTGATCCCTCTGAAACTTCCCTGTGAGCCCCGAGACAACAACACCGCTCGCTTCACCTTCGGACTGGTTTTCTTCACTAACATCGACGTAGTTACTGCCAAGAGACCAAGTAGTGTAGACAAAAGGGTAATCATTGTCGGTGCGTTGATCGTGAACATAATAAAAGCATCGTTGAGACCACAGTATTTAGCACCAAGCGCCGAAGTCTTGCGTAAAATTTCTGCATTTGTCGAAAGGATCGACTCCAACGGGTTGCGTTGCACCACTCGCAGCGTTGTCACCACACACGCAGTGATGACAACTTGAGTGGCCTCCCACGTAAGTTGGAAGTGTTGATCCAGTTGTTGGTCTCCTGACCGCGCCTTTGCCAGATTGATGAACGAATACGAGAAGGCATAGAAGCAGCACGTGAGATTCGCGAGCGACTCAGTTGTCAGCGTACCAGTGGAGAACCCGAGTAGATACAAATCCGAGTTGTAATGGAGGTGATACGCCACTTCGGCCAGATAAACCACTTGCGTTTTGCCGTTCTGACATCGATACGCCCAGATTTGAGTCAGCAAAACGGATCGCTTGTGTGACATCACTTCGTAAAGACTGACCATTCCCATGACGAAGATCTGCATGACAACTATCCCTGGTAGCACACTGATGCCCACTTTGTCGGCATATCGACTTCTGAAGGTGTTCATGTACATGGCGACGCGATTCGGCTTTGCAGTCGAGGTTTCGCTAACCCATTTCCATTGTGAGTTGTAGTAATTGTGAATACAAACATCGCTCGTACTGCACAGTGGCATGTCGTCTGGAGATTGCACCATGAGTTCGTAGCTGGCCCAGTGCTCGGAGATCTCACAGGTGCTTTCGATGAACACGCCAGATGAGTTCACCTCGTGCACCCGACAGCCTCCGTAGTATGCATGCAGTAAAGGTTCGAGCACCGAGGTAACTTCATATTTAGTCTCGGAGGCTTGAACGCTGCGCGAAACGGGGGCCATAGTGCTACTGAAGCTGTAAGGAAATAAAATTAGAGCTTCAGGAACGACAGCCAACAAGTCCCGACCGTTGGTGTCCAACGCCATCTTTGAACCGAGAAGCGTATAGTCCATGGGGACGTCAGGGCGGCACTCGGTTATATCAGGAGCGATGTTGATGGCTACGGCGGGGATCTCGGCGAATCCGGTACTGTTTAGATCCATCGGGTACAAAAACAACCGAGGAAGAGCCATGATACTCCACGTAGTTACGCACTCCTTTGCACGTTCAATTCCAAGCTCAAGCTCTCGTCTTGTTTGCATGGAAATACTGAGGTTGAGGGTGGTAATGACATCCATGACTTGCTGAGCAGTACCCGTAAGAACGTTCATTGCTGAGCCCCATTCGTTTACACTGCTTTGGCATAGCGCATCGCTGGTATCTAGAGACTCGCCCAGTGCGATAGCATCCGCACCGAGAGAACTATAGTTGTACAATGAATCTGTTGGAGGTATTCCGGTGAATGCTGTAAAAGGGGGCCCGCTGGTGAGAGATACTTTATTGTACATTACATACGTTAATAACACGATTTTACAGGTCCCCAAACAGTCGGTGCCCACCAGCCATCGATAAATCTCGCTCAGTAAACGCGAAGAAGCTGTTGTCGGACGTGATGAGGAATGTGGCGTCTGGCGAGAGGTAGTTGGTAGCGGTGAAGAGCAATAGCAGCACGATTGGTCCTACTACCGTGAGACCGAAGACGGCGAGACAAGCTCCAAAAACTGCAGCGTTCTCCATTGTTGTCCCTTGCGACGAAGCCTCTCCTGTTGATAATAGTTTGTCGCCCATTTCTCCGAAGTTACTGAATCCAGGTCAGCCACACGGACTCTTTGTCTACAAATCTTTGAGTACAGTCGGCTGATCACGGTTCGGGTGTCTGCTGAGTCACATCTCGCGCTCATCGTCGCAGCGGAATTGAGCTGCAACTGCCATCCCTCCTTTCTAATAATGCTCACCAGTGCTCACCGCGCATATGCTTCCAGCCTATTAGTAGTTTTTTTTCTGCTCCCCGATGGTATTTTTAGCAAGTCAATTCGACATCTTCTGGAGATTCACATGTTAGGAACTTTCTGAAAACACAATCGAACGATCAAAACAACAGTACCGTAAATATCGCAATTAGAGGTCACAGTTGCAACAGATGCAGCATCACTACAACTTACGACTCGTCGAGCACATCTAATCATGGCTGCCCCCGCTCCTGACCTCACGGACATCAACGCGATGCTGCAGGTGGCTATTGCGGCCGCGCGTGCTGCCGGCGCCCACATGAAGTCGCACTTGAGTACGTCACGCGTGGAGAAGACCAAGTCCAGCAAGGACGACCTGGTCACAGTCGTGGACAAGCAATGCCAGGATCTCGTATTCGCCACCATTAAGGAGACGTTCCCCAGCCACGAGTTCCTGGGCGAGGAGAACGTCGAGCCTGGTAGCGAGGCCTCCGTTCAAGCGCTGCGTGACATGGTGAGCAAGGAGTGGCTCTGGATTGTGGACCCCATCGACGGCACCACCAATTTCGTGCACCACCGTCCTGCCAGCGTCGTGTCCGTGGCCTGCGCGCGTCTGGGCGAGGTTGTAGTTGGCGTCATCTACGATCCGTACCGTGACGAGATCTTCACGGCGCAGAAGAGCAAAGGCACATTCCTCAACGGCCAACCAGCGCATGTCAGTCACGAGGCCTCGTTCTCCGAAGCTCTTGTGGGCTTCGGCATCGGAACCAAGGACAGCGTACGATTGCCCATGCTAGACTGCGCACGCGAGTTCTCTGCTAAATGCAGAGGTCTCCGTCTACAGGGAGCTGCGGCAATCGAGCTCGCATGGACAGCAGCTGGACGTCAATCGGTGCGTCAGTTGTCTGTACGCGGAGGTGTTATCAATTGTTTTCTGACGTATTATGTATGCTGTGGTGATGGCAGGCATTTTTCGAGCTTGACCTGAACTCTTGGGATGTGGCAGCAGGTGCACTGTTGGTGAAGGAGGCCGGCGGTGAAGTGACCAACAGCGACGGCACTCCATTCTCGCTCAGCACACGAAACATCGTGGTGTCCAACAACAAGGGCGACATCCACACCAGCATGATTGAGCTCATCAAGAAGGCCGACGCTGTGGACGTGCGCAAGTAATTCCCATTTTAGAGCTACACCACGACGAGAGACTGTACCACGACGTGGTAAACACCAAATGCATTCCTCTCATCTGCAAGAATTCCTTTCATAATTGCTCACGTACGTGGCATGGCTTCAATTTTGTCAAAACAAGAGCATTTCCATCCAATCGCAGCGTCTATTTTATTTTAAACTGTCCAATCACGAGAACCTAGATGATACTGTAACAGGCGACACCACTGCCCACTTTCGTCAGGCCCAAGATGGCGGAGCAGCTCCCGGCGCCGTACCATGTCAACACGTGGTTCTTCGTGTGCGGGCCGCTGGCCGTCAACACCTTTTTGCTGGGCCTGGCGGCCAACTTGCGTGTCTTCAAAAGGAACAACTTGGCCTTCGATAGGGTCATGGACATGCGGCCGGACGAGGTGCCGACAGCCGACGGCATCTTCAAGACGGGACTCTTCATGTGTTTGGTGCAATTGCTGCTCTTCAACGGAGAAGCGGCCCGACGGGGTGGCGCCTTTGGCGTAGATGAGACGCGTATGGAGATGCTGCTATTGGGCTACGCGATTGTGGCCGCCTCGCTACTGCTGTGTCCGTTCGACGTCCTGCACTACAAATTCCGCATGTTCGTACTGCGTAAGTTGGCGCGTTGTTTCTGGCCTTTCCAGCAGTTTTCCTTCAAGCTGCCTACACACGCTACACCCTTTATCGAGGTGTTCATGGCCGACGGAATGACGTCGCTGTCCAAGTTCATACAGGATCTGTCAGTGGCGCTCATGCTGCTGTTGATGTCGTTCACTAGCGAGCCCAAAGATTTGAGAGAGTCGTATATCTCCAAACTCAAGGAGTCGCCACTACCGTACTTCGCGGCGAGTACACCTTACATGCAAGTGGACATCTTCGTGGCCGTTGTTATTTATCACCTTTTCTAACTTTTTTTCCCTTTAAATTATTTCTTTCAGAATCCGAGCGACGCAGTGTTTAATCTCATTTCAACGGACGACAAGTGTGAACGACCGGTTTCTTCACTTGCTAAACACGATGAAATACTGCTCCAGTCTGCTGGTGATCTCGGTGGGGGCGTATCCGATGCTGATTGGACGGGCACGACCCGAACAGAGCAGCTTCTTCCTGCTGTGCGCTGTCTTTAACTCGCTGTACTCGTTCCTATGGGACGTCGTCATGGACTGGGGTCTCGGCCAGCCCAAACTACCTCGTCGAGTTGCCTTCTTGCGCCACCATTTGACGTACCGACCACGCAAGATCTACTACCTCGTCATCGTCGTGGACTTTATTCTGCGCATTCTGTGGGTCACCAAGTGGTGGGATTGGATGCACCGCGGGGTGCACTTCAAGCTCGTCTCGCAGGTCGCAGAAGTCGTGCGTCGTATCATCTGGAACTTCGTGCGTGTCGAGTGGCAGTGCATTAAACTGGACATCCTCGCTACGAAGAAGCTCTCGGCGGATACTGTGGAGCTCGACGAGATCATCGAGAAGGTGCCACTTATGCAGGAGCACGAAGAGGAGCTTGAAGACACGAGGCCCAGGATGAGACCACTCAGTCGACCCAACTCGTTCTCTGCGGAGGCTAGCGGCACCGAAACAAGCAGCACACTAAGACCGAGTCCTCTTCATGCCAACACAGACACGGAGCGGCTCCTTCAAGCTGACGCGGATTCCAGAGAAGCCCAACAGGACGAAATGATCGCCCCTGCTGCCATTACGGTCGCTAGTTATCCAGACAAACCGCAAGCAATGCTGGTGAGCCACGGAGACACGCATCACCGACGAGAGTCGAGCCCCAGTAAAGCGGCCACGGAAGACGCCGAGGCAAGCGAATTGTAACATTGAACCACAAGGTAAGAGATAGATGCATGCTCATTATTAACGCAGCTGCACAGACTTCCAATACTCCGATCTTGAGCTCGGACTATGAGGCCGAGGAGTTTTAATGCACGTCTGCGCTCTCGACGCATTTCTTGAGCGGCGTGAGGGCAGGACGCAACTCGCTGGCTAGAGCGTGGAGTGCACCAATGTGCGGAGAGTTGGGAGCCACGAGAGTGATGACCAGAGGCGCGTGGTTGATGTGGATCAGCACCACGTCGTCGAAGAAGGCGGTCACACTCTGCACGGCTCCGAACTTAAGCTTTCCGATCTACAAGGCACAAGATCTGTCAACGTCCTATAGTTGTAATTTATACACTTACTATCGCACCTGCTCCGCCGCCCCTGCAAAGACTGTCGGCAGCACCGTCTCCGTGTATTCGTATGACAGCTCCGACTTCTCCTCAGCAGATACTAGCAGCAAATACCACGTTAAAATTGCTTCAAGGAGCTCGAAAGGGTGACAATTTCGAGGTGTACCTTTGAGTAGCGGAACACCTTCGGAGGTACACACCAGAATGGCTTCCAACGCGTCGTATCTGCAGCGGAAATTCGCATCAACAGTCAGCAATACGTTGTACATGTAGGAAGGAATTTGAGTCTGAAGGCACCTGCTCAGCACGTCATTAAGCTTCTCCTGCAGAATCGGGCTCTGTGGTCAACAAGGAGGCAGACAATATGAGCAACGGGTTAGTGCGGCGCGTGTGTTTGACGCAATGAACACGCTACCATCTCTGCGGCAGCCTCCATCTTGTTCCGATTGCACTGCTCTTAAATAGGGATGGTTTTGGACTAATTTAAAACTGTCTAATATACTTCCAGAAACGTCCGAAATTCCATTCAAAATTCAAAACTATCTAAAACTAACAGACAGAATATTCTCATTTGAGGGTCATTGAGCAGCATTGCGGCACTACTTCACTGCCAGTGCCAGCACAAGCTAGGATACTGCACGAGACGCTGGCGCATTGCTCACTGCCCGACCTGGCAGTAGCTGCAAGCCTCGAGCTCATGCAAGAAGCCTAAGAGAAGGCAAACCGGGACCGCAGGCTCACACAGCTCTAGTTCTTGGAACGGCCGAAGTACGTTACCTCTTTTCTGCCTATGTCTACGATATTGTGCGTGACTGACTTCTTATTTGTGTTGTTCTAGTCAATATTTGTGATACGCCTGTCAAAGCTGTGGACATGTTAATGCAGGGGAATACACAGCCAGTGGCCCCGAAGGATGCGAATGAACCGATTCCTTTACACGGAGGAAATTCGCGATGCCTTCATGAAGCAATTCGCTCTAGTAAGTTGCTTAGTTATCTGACACTGGGTCACAAGAAACTCTACCTCACCGATTTCATGAAGATTATCTTACGTGTCAGTTGCCTGCAGTATCCGCCCAATACGCAGACGGTGGATGATGCCGTTCGAAGTCTTCAGGCGCTGCTGATCAACCACGACGCATTAGTGATACAATTCTGCGAGGTGGGCTCTATCCAAAGACCGTCTAGAGGGAGGATGGGCATGCTTGTTTGTGCTGCAAATTAAAGAATGACTTATGGGTTTTCAGCTACAGATTTAAGTCATAAGAGCGCGTTGTATTTAATTGAGGATATCTACACTTTCAGGACACGATTGATGCCTTGCAAGGTCGATGTCATCACTTTGAATTGTGCCATAGTTGATGTAGATATAGGCAAGCCTTTCAACGTTTTCAACTGATAGCCTGTTCCTTCGCTTGGAGCGAATGTGGTCGAATATACTCCAGGCCCTCTCACTGGCTGCTGACGACGTAGGAACCGCAAATACCATTTAAGCTACCTTTTTGAGAAGAGGGTAGCTCTTTTCGTGTTTGGCACCCCAATAATCACGTGGAGATGCTTCTAAATACTTCATTCGTAGATCTTCACCACCCCTCCGCTTCATGCATTTAAATTTGAGAATCTCGGCGGTCAATTTGGCCATATTCGCAGGAGTTATCAGGCCGCATCGTGTTGCCAGCATGCAAACTTGCTCATCTACATTTTCGTCATCATCACCGACGAAGTCGTCGAAGCTAATGGCCGGGTCAAGTAAAAACGCGACAGCCATTGCGTTTGAATGAACGTTCTTCCATCGTTTTAATATCTTCTTGCGAAAAAATTTGAAGTTGACCAAGTGGAACTGCGGTAATACGTTGATACTCGCCGCCATCAGGAAGGTCAGCAGTGGCAGTTTGGTTCATATTTTCTTGGACAGAAGTAGTCGTCGACATGGTTTCGGCTGCATGACTGAGCATCCCGATCCCATCTACTGCCTGATCATGGTCTTCTTCTTCGGAGCCAATAGCATCTAATTCTGCAAACTCTGCCTCTGGTTCTTCTCCATTAGCATCTAATACTGCAAACTCTCCTTCCGGTTCTTCTTCATTAGCCGAAGTCACACCATACGCTATATGATACCGTAACCATCGAAACCATGTATACACTCCGGAAATGTATCCATTGTCCGCTTCTAGAGCCCGGAGAGCTTCTATAATGGGGTCAAACATACGCACAATAGTTCGCAAACTGCTCCAGAAGCCATCATGCCGAACCAACTCGATAACGAGGCGTAGTTTTTTCGATTGGACGGAGTTCCACGATAACGATCTAGAAGTTTCATAGCTCGGGTCCAAAAAGAGTGTTTCCAGCGTTTCTCGGTTGTTTAGCACATTCCGCATACAGGCGTGGATAGAATACCAACGTGTTGGTACAGGCAATACGAGACTTCGAGCCCTCATTCCAGAGTCTCTAATTCCACGCTGCAATCGCTTAAACTCGTCCAACAGAGCTAAGTGGTCCCTTACGAAGCGTGTGACAGCCACTGCTCTTGTCACTACAGCTTTGACGGCATCAAAACGAGATACATCCTGCATGAGTAGGTTTAGGACGTGAGCCGCACAGCCACCACTGACCACATTTGGACGCCGAATTTGAACTTGTTCCGTCGCACTCCGCATGTTGCTCGCATTGTCAGTGACAACACCAACGACTTGAGCAGTAGTCTCGCGCTCAATTTCACCGATTACTTTTTCAATTTCATCCGCAAAGTATCGGGCTGTGTGTTGTTTTGATCTAGTGGACCACGACGACCAAAACATGGAAGGCATCCCTGGAGCAACCACCATGAAGTTTATAATACTCGAGCTGTTGGTATCCGTCCAACCATCGGTCACGAGTGACACGTAGGTATGATTATTGATCAGATCGACCACTTTCATACGAACATCATCTTGAACGTTTTGTACCAGCACCGTGCTTAGCTTTTGCCTCGACGGCAACTCCAGTGTCGGTGCCACCATAGCCATGAAATCTCGAAACACTTGAGCTTCCAGTAATATGAACGGCAGGGCGCAGACAAAAAACACTCGTGCAAGTGCCATTTCAAATGCTTCCTGGTCAAGATCGTTCTTTACGGGTTCCACAGTGTGTTGGGACGGCGGTAGTGTTGGCGAAGGGGCTATAGTAGGTCGGAGAGAGATTTGAACATCTCTGGGAACACTAGGGCATTTGTTAGGCTTCACCAAGTGATCCAACAAGTTTCCACTAGGCTTACCGTTCTTTTTAAGAACTCCGCAGTAATTGTACCGCCCGTGTTTCTTCCCATTCTCACGCGCAATAGTATAGTGATTCCAGATTTCATCACGCGGGCGTCCGACCTTCAGTGGAGACACTCGAAAACGACGAGATGACCCTGGAGTACGAGGCGATCGCGCGGGATTAAGAGAAGTCATGGGCGACCAAGACGAAGCGTGAGGAGGCCTGGGCGATCGTGTAGGAGTAGAAGCACGTGGAGGACGCGATGGTGTTGCTGAGCGAGGTACTTCCGCCACGGTTGGCATAGGGGGGGGGATCGCGCTGGTGCTGGTGTCGGAAGGGGTCGGGATGGAGGTGGCGAGTGAGGTGGAGGCGAGAACATCACCCTACGCGAGCCTGTTGCCGGCGACGTAAGATCCTCTGGCGGGCTTAGCGGAGAGGAACCTCTTTGGTAAGGGCTGTAGCGAAGAGTCTTCCGTAGTGCCGAGCTGGGGGGCGAGCGGAACCTTCCGAAAGCTGCGTGTAGATTGCGGGGAGTATCCCCAGATGATCTTTGCTGTATGTTCTCCCATTGTGGCGGCCCGCTGCCAGTATCTTTCCCCCTTGTCGCCATGAGCAGAGCCCAATCCTCTCTTTCGCCCGGGTACCTTTGGGATTCCTTATGAATTTTGGAATTTTGGATACTTCTAAACTGTTTAAAACGTTTTTGTGTATTTTAAACTTTTTTACTCTTCAAATCTGAAACCATCTCTACTCTTAAATCATACAAAACCTATTAATACCGGTAGCGGCACAATTTGTACACACACTGTCCGATCTACGACACTTCATTTGGCGGAAGTGCGCCAACAACTCCTCGTTCTCGAGCATGGCTGAGTGCGTGGACTAAGATCGAGACAATCAGAAAGCGCGCAGCCTTAGTGGATGTCCACACGGTGTCATAAAAGAGAACGCGAGAAATGACGTCTGCTGTCGAGGGTTGAATGGCTTGATGCGACAGGAGAGGAAGATACGAATCTACAGCTCAGACTTGCCGGCCTGTGGTAGATGACTACTGGTGGCTGTCAGCCTTACAACTGACCACGACAAGTGATGAGAAGGCAAGAAATAAGTCGGGATTCTCAACTAGTTTGTATTGAGTGATTACTTGTATGAGACTGCTGCACGAAATATGCACTGGGAGAGACGATTGCGGCATCGATAGCACGTGCTTCCGGCTGCCATCAACAGGTACAAGTGGCCGGCCGGTCGAGAATTGCCGGCCGATCGAGACTTTTGTGTGAGAGGTGAGCGCGGTAGTGGTGACCTTCTATCTACCATCCCCAGCCGCCGAAGCCGCCGCCGCCGAAGCCACCCCAGCCACCCCATCCGCCGCAGCGACCCCAACCACCGCAGCCTCCCCAACCTCCCCACGGGCCTCCCCATCCGAATCCGCCGCCGCCCCATTCCTTCTTCTTCTTCTCGTCGCCGTCTTTGTTGTCGGCATGCGTGGCCTCCTTGCCGACAGCGTCGACGGAAGCAGTGGCCGCGGCGGGTTGCTGCAAGCTGTGCTCCGCAGCGACAGGAGCGACAGGTTCGGGCACGGCGAGAGCTCTGAGAGCCGGCTGGTAGTCGTTGGCGGACGCGACGGACGCGACGGCGACTAGCGTGGTGACGGCGAGAGTGGTGAACTTCATGGCTTTCAGTTGGTCGGCCGGTAGTCGGACGGGTCGGTACTCGCTCACTCGGTTGTGTGAAGGAAGGCAAGTTGTCGTGTGGGAGTGAGGTTGGTGGCCGGGCGGTGGCCCGTTGATGGTGGTGGTCGGTGGTGGTCTGGAGAGTGAAAAGTCTGCGGGTTTTCTGCTCGCTGGTGTGGCAGTCGACTTGTTGTTCATTTTCCGGTCGTTTCCGCTGGTCTGTAGTGATGCTGATGGATGTGGCTAGTGGCCGGTTGATACCTGCTAGACGGCGGCTACGTTCTTCGATGGCGAGCGTCGAGCGTTTCGCGCTGATTGTTGCTATTAATTGGACGCGGTTGCCACAGAGCAGGCGCACCACCGCCAGTGGCCATGATGTTCGAAGTCGACCGTCGTGATGCAGTGGGTATGCCGCTTGCAGTGGAGAAGTTAGTTGTTGTTTGCATCAGTATTGGGCTGCTGGTTCGTGACGGTAGTGGCCGCCATTGGCCGGTCAAAGTCGTAGTACTGTTATTGGATTGAATCGGCAGGAAAGATACAAGCTCGGACTTGCCGGCCAGCTTTGCAATCGAGCAAGACAAGGGACGAAAAGGCAAGAAAGAAGTCTGGATTCTCAATTATTTTGTATGGAGTGATTACTAGCAGCAGTAGTTGTATGAGACTGCTGTTGGCACTGGAGAGACAACCGCGGCATCGATTGCAAGCGCTTGCGGCTGCCGTCGACAGGCACAAGCAGCCGGTCGGTCGATACGTTTGCGTGAGAGGTGAACGCGGTAGTGGTGACCTTCTATCTACCATCCCCAGCCGCCGAAGCCGCCGCCGCCGAAGCCACCCCAGCCACCCCATCCGCCGCAGCGACCCCAACCACCGCAGCCTCCCCAGCCTCCCCACGGGCCTCCCCATCCGAATCCGCCGCCGCCCCATTCCTTCTTCTTCTTCTCGTCGCCGTCTTTGTTGTCGGCATGCGTGGCCTCCTTGCCGACAGCGTCGACGGAAGCAGTGGCCGCGGCGGGTTGCTGCACGTTGTGCTCCGCAGTGACAGGAGCGACAGGTTCGGGCACGGCGAGAGCTCTGAGAGCCGGCTGGTAGTCGTTGGCAGACGCGACGGCGACTAGCGTGGTGACGGCGAGAGTGGTGAACTTCATGGCTTTCAGTTGGTCGGCCGGTATGTCGGACGGGTCGGTACTCGCTCACTCGGTTGTGTGAAGGAAGGCAAGTTGTCGTGTGGGAGTGAGGTTGGTGGCCGGGCGGTGGCCCGTTGATGGTGGTGGTCGGTGGTGGTCTGGAGTGTGAAAAGTCTGCGGGTTTTCTGCTCGCTGGTGTGGCAGTCGACTTGTTGGTCATTTTTCGGTCGTTTCCGCTGGTCTGTAGTGATGCTGATGGATGTGGCTAGTGGCCGGTTGATACCTGCTAGACGGCGGCTACGTTCTTCGATGGCGAGCGTCGAGCGTCGAGCGCTGAACGCTGATTGTTGCTATTAATTGGACGCGGTTGCCACAGAGCAGGCGCACCACCGCAAGTGGCCATGAAATCCGAAGTCGGCCGTCGTGATGCAGTGAGTATGTCGCTTGCAGTGGTGAAGTTAGTTGTTGTTTGCATCAGTATTGGGCTGCTGGTTCGTGACGGTAGTGGCCGCCATTGGCCGGTCAAAGTCGTAGTACTGTTATTGGATTGAATCGGCAGGAAAGATACAAGCTCGGACTTGCCGGCCAGCTTTGCAATCGAGCAAGACAAGGGACGAAAAGGCAAGAAAGAAGTCTGGATTCTCAATTATTTTGTATGGAGTGATTACTAGCAGCAGTAGCTGTATGAGACTGCTGTTGACACTCGAGAGACAACCGCGGCATCGATTGCAAGCGCTTGCGGCTGCCGTCGACAGGCACAAGCAGTCGGCCGGTCGATACTTTTGTGTGATAGGCGAGCGCGGTGGTGGTGACCTTCTATCTACCATCCCCAGCCGCCGAAGCCGCCGCCGCCGAAGCCACCCCAGCCACCCCATCCGCCGCAGCGACCCCAACCACCGCAGCCTCCCCAGCCTCCCCACGGGCCTCCCCATCCGAATCCGCCGCCGCCCCATTCCTTCTTCTTCTTCTCGTCGCCGT